GGAGGAGTTGGTTGAAAGGAAGAGGAATGGAGCAGGACCCTGGGAGAAACGGGAGGCCTCCAGAGCACCTCTCACCAGGCTGCAAGGTTTCCGATGGTGAACCCGCGGAAGGACCATCCGCACGCATCCGTGCGAATCCTTGGGAGCAACAGTTGGTGAGGCTCTGGGTGGGGATGGAGATCGCATCGAGGGTGGGGGGGGGGGCTGCCGGGCGACTGCCGGGCGACGCGGGGCCCCTCGAGGCCCCAGTGTCGCGCGAGCACCGGGGCTGTGCTCCGCGCCTGGGCCGGCCCCCCAGCCCCCCGACGTCGTGATTGGAGGCCCGGTTCCGCATCCCTCAAGCAGTGGCGAAGCGTCCCGGCGTGCCTTTTAGGCCTACCAAGCGATGTTCTAAGAACCTCTTGTGGTTTCCACGAGAAGTTTGTAGAACATTTCTGGCTGGGACTGTCTTCTGTTACTACATCGGGTCTATGTTCCAAGACACATGTTTTTGTTCTTAGAACGTTTTTGGGTTCTAAGAGCATGTCGTGGTAGGCCTATCGGAATGCCGGGACGGTCGGTCCCTGCTCAAATCCCGAGCTGTTTTTTGACGGCCCCGAAGCCCAGTCAGGGCCTCCCTGCATGCCGAAGACATCGGGGGCGGCAAAGAGGGGGGGTGATGTCCAGGAGGGGGTGGATATCATGGCGTGGGCCATGATATTTCCCCAGGTTTCGTGGCGCCTCTTTTTGTGTCAATGCGTCCCCAACGCCCCCCCCCTGGGCCGCGCACGTGCCGACGGCCACGATTTGCGCCCCCCCCCCCCCCCCCCCCCGTCCCTCTTGGACGCCCCCCTCTTGGCCGCCCCCGAAGATAGCGAGAGGCACCCGACCGCCCCCACTCCCGTTTTGTTTTTCGCAGCTCGAGGGGGTTTGGTCCAGTCTTCCACCGCCACAGCCATCGGTAGGACGAGGGGAGGGAAGGGAGGATGCGGAGGTCCGCTTCCTCCTCCTCCTCCTCCTCCTCCTCCTCCTGCTCCTCCTGCTCCTCCTGCTCCTCCTCCTCCTCCTCCTCCTCCCTCCGCTGCCTACGGTAGTGGTGGTGGTGGAACATCGGCCCATCAGGTCTGGTCACGAGGCGGCTCCCGAGCCCGGTCGGCGGAGGGCGGGGAGGAGGAGGAGGAGGGGAGGAGGAGGAGGAGGAGGAGGAGGAGGAGGAGGAGGAGGAGGAGGAGGAGGAGGAGGAGGGGAGGTTGAGGAGGAGGAGGAGGAGGAGGAGGAGGAGGAGGAGGTGAGGAGGAGGAGGAGGAGGGAGGAGGAGGAGGAGGAGGAGGAGGAGGAGGAGGAGGAGGAGGAGGAGGAGGAGGGGAGGGGAGGGAGGGGGAGGAGGAGTGGAGGGGGAGGGGGAGGGGGAGGGGGTGAGGGGGAGGGGAGGGGGGGGAGAGGAGGAGGGGAGGGAGGGGGAGGAGGAGGAGGAGGAGGAGGCTCGGCTCCCGGGAGTTGCTCCCAGGCCAGGGTCCGCCGGGGGGGGGTCTGGCCGGCCCGCATGGGCGCGGCGCCCCGTTGCCTGCGCCCCGACAGGGCCCCTCGATCCTCCCCTGCTCGACGCTCCTCGACGCTCCTCGACGCTCCTCGACCCTCCTCGACCCCCCTCTCCTCCTCCTCCTCCTCCTTCTCCTCCTCCTTCTCCTCCTCCTCCTCCTCCTCCTCCTCCTCCTCCTCTTTCTCCTCCGACTACAGGTACTTTACAGGCCTAAGGACACCAAACAACGATCGACATCTAGCGCCCAGATATAAACCAGAACAGTCTTGGATGGCATTTCCGCCCCTCTTGGGAACGAGTGCTTTCCGCTACGGCGATCTAGGTGATCGGGATGCAGAGAAGTATAGAAAACCACCACAAGTCAATCGACATCTAGCGGCCAGATAATAAAACATAATACTCTTGAATGTTATTTCCGCCCTTCCTGGGAACTAGTGCTTTCTGCTATGGCGAAAGAGTGCTGTTTCCCTAGTTCCAGATGAGCGGGATGCAGAGAAATCTAAGCAAACAACAATCCATCGACATCTAGCATTTAGAAATTAAGCATCATAATCTTGAGTTACATTTCCGCCCCTTCTGGGAACGAGGGTTTTCCGCTATGGCGAAGGAGCGTTGTTTCCCTATGTTCAGATGAGTGGAATGCCGAGAAAATTCGGACATCAACACAAATCCATCGACATCCATCGGCTAGGAATAGAGCATAATCCTCTTGAATGACATGTCCGTCCCTCCGGGGAACGAGGATTCTCCGGTATGGCGAAAGAGTATTGTGTCTTTTTGTTCAGATGAGCGGGATGCCGAGAAATCTAGGAAGACACAACAAATCCATCGAGATCTAGCGGCTAGAAATAACCACATACTACGCTTGAGTTGCATATCTGCCCCTCCTGGGAACGAACGTTTTCCCGGTACTGCGAACGAATCTTGTTTCCTTATGTCCAGCAGAACGGGATGCCGAGAAATCTAAGAGAAACAGCAAACATCCGTCGACACTTAGCGACTAGACATAAAACAGCATACTCTTGAATGGCATGTCCGCCCCTCCTGGGAACGAGCGTTTTCCGCTACGGCGAAATAGTACTGCTTCCCTATGTCCAGATGAGTGGGACGCCGTGAAATCTCGAACAACAGCACACATCCATTGACCTCTAGCGGCTAGAAATGCGACAAGATGTTCTTGAATGGCATTTCTGCTCCTCCTGGGAACGCGGGTTTTCCGCTTCGGCGAAAGACAATCGCCCCCTATTGCCAGAGGGCGCATGTGACCCGCAGAGTAGGGAGGAGGCATCAGAGGAACGATAGATTATGATGTTTCACGCAAACGAATGACACACCAACGGATACCACTACAATTGCGCACTATCGAGATCCCAGCTTGCAATCGTTTCCCGAAACCCTTACTCGCACGCGTGAGAATATTTCTAATGTTCACTGTGTTTGCGTCGCGACCTGACTTTATCAATGAAGGCCTTGGGGGAAAGGGAAGGAGATATATGATGAATTAACATGCATGTGGTGGACCCTCCACAAACAATGAATCAGTGTGTGGAGGCTCCTCCACACATGGAATCAATATGTAAACCCGTCAGAATAAATCCTTCCCCTCCCTTCTCCTCCCTCCTCCTGTCGGAGGCCTTGCGGGAAAGGGGAGGAGAGAGAGAGATAGAGAGAGGGGGGTCAAATTGTGGAGGATCCTCCACAAAAGGAGTCAATCTGTGGAGACAGGACCACGACACGCTGGTATGCGCTGCCTTATTTTCTGTTTTTGTTTTTCCTTTCGCCCCGAAGGCCACGAAACGCTGGTATGCTCTGCGTTTTCGGATTTGTTGTTGTTGTTGTTGTTGTTGTTGTTGTTGTTGTTGTTGTTGTTGTTGTTGTTTGTTATTGTTTTTTTTGGGGAGGGGGGACCAACACACACCAGAAACAACAGAAACAACAGCGCATACCAGTGGCCGTCAAGACCATGAAACGCTGGTATGCGCTGCCTTTTTCCGTTTATGTCTGGTCCGCAATGCCACGCAACGCGTTTTTTTATTGTTTGATAGTTTTTTTGTTGGAGCTATGGGCTCGGCCAGTGGTTGTGTGATGACCGTAGTTCAAGAAACATAACAAACATAAGAAGCCGCGCGCACCAGCGCATCGTGAGCTTGGGGGCTAGAAGAAACAGAAACAGCAGCGCATACCAGCGTTTCTTGCCCACCAGGTAGAACAAGAGCATACCAGTGTTTCGTGGCCTTCAGGATGAGGAACACTAGAATCTAGGTGTCGAGAAGGAGGAGGATGATGGTGACGAGGAGAGGCAACGAACCGATTTTTTTTGCTTCTTTCTTTTTCTCGTCCCCAAGGCTACGAAACGCTGGTACGTTTTTTTGTTTGTGTGTGCGTGGTTCTGATTGTTGTTGTGTGTATGTGTTGTTGTTGTTGTTATTGTTGTTGTTGTCGTTGTTGTTGATGTTGTTGTTACTGTTGTTGTTGTTGTTGTTGTTGCTGTTGTTGTTGTTGTTGTTTTTGTTGTTGTTGATGATGTTGTTGTTGTTATTGTTGTTGTTGATGCTGTTGTTGTTGTTGTTGTTGTTGTTGTTTTTGTGGTTGTTGTTTCTTGTTGTTGTTGATAGTGTTGTTGTTGTTGATGTTGTTGTTGTTGTTGTTGTTGTTGTTGTTGTTGTTGCTGCTGTTGTTGTTGTTGTTGTTGTTGCTGTTTCTTCTTGTTGTTGTTATACGTATTGTTTCTCGTTGTGGTTGTTGTTGTTGTTGTTGTTGTTGTTGTTGTTGTTGTTGTTGTTGTTGTTGTTGTGGTTGTTGTTGTAGTTGTTGATGATGTTGATGTTGTTGTTGCTGCTTGTTGCTTATGATTTTGTTGAATTACGGGGTCGGCGAGTAACACAGAACAGCAACAACAGCAGCGCACACCAGCGTTTTGTGAGCTTGGAGGCCAGAACAAGCATAGCAAGCAGCGCATACCAGCGTTTCGTGGCCCTCAGGCAGGAAAAGCAGCGCATGCCAGTGTTTCGTGGCCCTCAGGATTAGGACAACTAGAAATCTAGCGGTCGAAAGGGAGGATGAGGATGAGGATGAGGAGAGGAAAGAGAAGGAGGCGGAGGAGGAGGAGATGAAAGGACGATAAGGAGGAGGAGGAGGAGGAGGAGGAGGAGGAGGAGGAGGAGGAGGAGGAGGAGGAGGAAGAGGAAGAAGAGGAGGAGGAATCTGATGAGGAAGAGGAGTTGGAGGAGGAGGCGGAGGAGGATCAGAAAACAAACAATCGTCAAAACCGTCCAGGCCTGTAAAGTGCCTGGCGCCCCTCCTCCTCCTCCTCCTCCTCCTCTTCCTCCTCCTCGTCCTCCTCCCACTCCTCGTGCTCGACACTCGACTCTTCTCGATCCTCTTCCTCCCACTCGATCCTCCTCGATCCTCCTCCTCCCCCTCGATCCTCCTTCTCCTCCTCCTCCCCCTCGACAAGCCGGCCCCCCGCCCTTCGCAGGAGCATGCCGATGCTGCCCTGTGTGAGCGACGGCAGCTCAGTGCAGAAGCCGATGCGGCACGTCAGCTCCGAGGACCCTCGATCCTCCTCGCGTCGCGAGGGTCGAGCAGGAAGAAGAGTATGAGTAGGAGTAGGAGTATAGGAGTAGGAGGAGGAGTAGGAGTAGGAGAAGGAGTAGGAGTAGGAGTAGGAGTAGGAGTAGTAGGAGGAGGAGGACGAGGAGGAGGACGAGCAGGAGGAGGAGGAGGAGGATGAGGACGAGGAGGGGGAGAAGTAGGACAAGTGTAAGCCCAAGACGCATCAACGATGCCCCAAGACGGTTCTCCAAATAAGCCTCGACGCCCCCAAAGGGCCTTACAGAGGCCTCCAATGTGGCTCGAACACGGCCGAAACTAACATGCTAGCGAAGAACCTTCCGGGAACAATGATTTTCGCCGCCAGTCCGAAGGGGAGGAGAAGGAAGTCCAGTGCAAACACAGGACTCAGACTCATCAGCGAGGCTTTAATCAACCCTTCCTTACAGTTTGCTCTTCACATGTCCCAGCCAGGATTTTGTTTCACTGTGGGAAGTGCACCGTTGGAAGACAACCATCTGATAATCTTCACTCGTGCCAGAACACCATTTCTGGGAATTCAGCGCCGGGAGCAAAAAATGGACCGCTGCGTGGCACCAATCCTGAATCATGCCAGAACGCCGCTCCTGGGACGGCAGCACCTCGAATCCACGTGACTCGTTGCGTACTGACCAGCCTAGATCGTGTCAGAACACCGTTCCTGAGGCGTCAGCCCCCCGGAATCAACGTGGGTGTTGCGTCCGGACAGTCCCGAACCGTGCCAGACGTTTTCGGGGGCTTCAGCCATATGACTTCTTGAAGCCGTTGCGAACTTTCAGGCGAGTTTGCGTGGCACCAGGGCGAGAACGACATTTTGAAGAGGAATCGCTCTCCGTCCGTGAAGTTGTTGCCATCCACGAAGGCGAATTTGCGCGGCGCTTAGGCCTGGGTCGTATTTTGGAAAAAGGGAGCGGCCCTCCATCCGTGAAGTGTTTGCAAACCTCCACGGCGAATGTGCGAGGCGCCAAGGCGAACGCGGTATTTTGGAAACAACCCGCCTTTCAGCCGTAGCAGACTTTTGAAACGAGTGTGCGCGGCGCCATGGCGAGAACTGCAGCCTGAAATCTGGCTGCCCTCCACCCTGGAAGCTGTGGCAGCAACCTTTTAAGACGAATCTGTGCGGCGCTGGGCCGAGAGCTACATTTTGCAAATGGCCCGCCCTGGATCTGTGAGACCGTTGCAGCTTTCAAGCTTCCGGACCGTAAATGGCGAGGATGCCCCAGGCGAAACGCCTGGCCCGCTCCCCAGACACGTTTGGGGATGCAGCAGGGAGAAGTTATCTATCTATCTATCTATATTTGTATGTATGTAAATCTATATAAGACAGGAATGAAGGAGGAGGAGGAGGGGGATGATGATGATGATGATGATGATGATGATGATGATGATGATGATGATGATGATGATGATGATGATGATGATGATGCTGCTGCTGCTGCTGATGATGATGATGATGCTGATGATGATGAGGATGATGATGATGAGGATGATGAGGATGATGATGATTATGATGATGAGGAGGATGATGCTGATGCTGATGATGATGATGATGATGATGATGCTGATGATGCTGATGATGCTGATGCTGATGATGCTGATGATGATGATGATGATGCCGATGGTGATGATGATGCTGATGATGATGATGATGATGATGATGATGATGATGGTGATGATGATGATGCTGATGATGATGATGATGATGATGATGATGATGATGATGATGATGATGATGATATGATGATGATGATGATGATGATGATGATGATGATGATGATTGATGATGATTATGATGATGATGATGATGATGATGCTGATGATGATGATGCTGATGATGGTGATGCTGATGATGATGATGATGGTGATGCGATGATGATGATGATGATGATGATGATGATGATGATGAGGAGGAGGAGGAGGAGGAGGAGGAGGAGGAGGAGGAGGAGGAGGAGGAAGGGAGGAGGAAGGAGGAGGAGGAGGAGGAGGAGGAGGAGGAGGAGGAGGAGAGGAGGAGGAGGAAGGAGGATGAGGAGGAGGAGAGGGAGGGAGGAGGAGGGAGGAGGAGGAGGAGGGAGGAGGAGGAGAGAGGAGGAGGAGGAGGAGGAGGAGGAGGAGGAGGAGGCGCGCCCCCGCAGGAATATCCGCCAGGGCAGCTGGTCCGTGTCGTGGGCACCAGGGCCTCGGAGGTGTCCGAGATTTGAGGACGTTTTCCTGCGCTCTCGCAGGTCTTCCAGCCTCGGGACGCTTCTCAGCAGCTGCCCCTCGCCGAGCTTGTCCCAGGGGTGCCCGAGTCGATCCGAATGGGCGCCGGAGGCCCGAGTTGTGACCCGAACGCCCGGCAGGCCATGGGAGGAAACGGTCCCCGAGGGCAACGGGCCCGGGGCTGTCTTTGTGTCCCAGGGGGTCTCTCGGGCCTCCCCGTCCGGGCTGCCTTTTGGCGCTCCGCTCGGATTTCTTGGATCCGCGCCTGGGCCCCCCCGGCGGCGCCTCTGGCGCCGCCCCTGGCGCGCTCCGCGCGCCAGGACTGGGTGGTCCAGCGCGGATCCAAGAAATCCGCGCGGAGCGTCAACAGTTTTGCATGGTTATGCTGTTTTTTTTGCGACCTCTATCCCCATCTCCCAGCCCCATCCAGACCCCCACCATCTCAGTACCCCAGTTGGGGATATACCCTTCGAAACCTGGAGGAAACTGCCTGTATCCCCATCCAGGGGGGCAAATCGGCCGGTGGGGCCCAGACCACGCCCGTGGGGATAGGGGTCAGTTCAGGGACAGTCACAGGACGAGCCAGGATGACAAGCTGGTTCCAGGGAGCTGTCACGTTGCGAAACCAAATGCGATCCCGCCTTGGAGGCCTGGGGTCCCTTTCCATTCCCTGCCCCCCTGCCTCGCCCTGAAGGCCAGCGGGTGCTGAGGGAAGTTGACCCGTATGTTTTCCATCGCATTCGGGCTTCCAGGGCCCTCCACGGACCCAGAGACCATCGGAGAACCATTCAGGCTGGAAGAGCTCGTCCTGGGGGAAGGCCCGGGGGTCCAGGGCCCGTTCCGCTTCCCTTCATGGGAACCTTCACTCATGCCCCCTCCCCGCTCCTTCTGCTCCCCCCTCCAGCTCCTCCTCCTCTTCCTCCTCTTCCTTCGATATTGTTTTTCTTATGTCCCCGTCGATGCTGAACATTACCCGTGGGGCGGGGGCGGGGAGCCGGGGGAGGGGGGCTGGTGTAATGTGAGCATATGATTAAAAAAATACCCCCCCCCCCCCCCCTCCCCCGGGGGGCCCTATCCGTGAAGAGTTGGGCGTACTACTAGAATCTGGGGGCCGAAACTGATTTTTTAATCGTCCCCCCCCAGCAACTTTAATCGTCCCCCCCCCTTCCCCCTGAAGATTCTCGATTTTTCCAAGGAGGAGGAAGGGAGGAAGGAGGGAGGAGGGACGGAGGAGGGAGGAGGGAGGGAGGAGGAGGAGGGGAGGAGGGAGGGAGGAGGAGGGAGGGAGGGAGGGGGGGGAGGGAGGAGGGAGGAGGCCTCACTCCTCTCCTCCCTCCTCCCTAGGGAGAGGCCTCCTCCTCTCCTCCCTGCCTGCCTGCCCTGCAGCACCGGAGGGGCGCAGCGAGACGGAAAAGGAAGGCAGGACAGGGGGGAGGGGTGGGAGGCCACCGTCGTCCGAGAGGACGCCGTCCGAAAGGACGCCCTCCTCCCTCCCTCCTCCCTCCTCCCTCCTCCTCCTTCCTCCCTCCGAGGAGGGAGGAAGGAGGGAGGCAAAAAAACAGTTGTTTAATCGTCCCCCCCCTGCTCCTCCTTACCCCCGTCCCCCGACTACTACTACGACTACTACTACTACTACTACTACTACTACTACTACTGCTACTACTACTACTGCTACTACTACTACTACTACTACTACTACTACTACTACTACTACTACTACTACTACTACTACTACTACTACTACTACTACTACTACTACTACTACTACTACTACTTACTACTTACTACTACTGCTGCTACCACTAACTACTACTACTACTACTACTACTACTACTACTACTACTACTACTACTACTACTACTACTACTACTACTACTACTACTAACTACTACTACTACTACTACTACGACTACGACTGCTTCTACTACTACTACTACTACTACTACTACTACTACTACTACTACTACTACTACTACTACTACTACTACTACTACTACTACTACTACTACTACTACTACTACTACTACTACTACTACTACTACTACTACTACTACTACTACTACTACTACTACTACTACTACTACTACAGGGAGGAGGGAGGGAGGGAGGAGGGAGGAGGGAGGAGGGAGGAGGGAGGAGACAGGAGGGAGGGAGGAGGGAGGAGGAATTGAGGGAGGAGGGAGGCCGGAGGGAGGAGGGAGGAAGGAGGGGCGGAAGGAGGAGGGAGGAGGGAAGGGCCGACCCCCCCCGCTCCGAATTGCCTGCCCTCGCCCCCCCCCTGGCCCTCCAGACGGCCCGGGGGGCAACCATAATTGTCCCCCAGAGAACTTTATTTGTTCGCCCTGGGGGGGCCCTCCGTGGGCGGCGCCCCCTCCCCCCCTTATGTGGGCCCAACCAGGCCGGCGAAACTATTTTTTTAAACGTCCGCCCTCAAATGTTTTTTTAATCATATGCCTTCATTAACGTCGCGATTTGCGCGGGGGCCGTCTGGGAATCACCAAATATTAGCCCCGGACTTGTAAAGGGAGGGCCCCCCAAGGAGACTGGGCAACTCCTGTTACGAAACGGTCGCGACGATTCCATTCTCGTCAAAAGCGGGTCCCCCTTGTCAGAGAACATTGGGCTTTACGTGGGCTCAGCTGTCCGCTCAGCATACATTGGAGGCCGCCCCTCCCCCCCAGCCTTCTCTCAGGGGCGGGCAAGTACACGCTCCCGGCGGCGAGCGAGTCAGTTGTTGCGAAGGCCCTACGGCTGGTGCCGTCGACCCGGAAGGGGGACGACGAAGACGACGGCGACGACGACGACGGCGCTCGCGAGCCCTCGTGGGGGGGCCCTGGTTGGCCCCTGGGCCCTGTTGGCCTCGGGACCCCCCACCTGGGACCCCCACCCGGGACCGCCCCCAGCGGTCCCCTGGCGGGCCCGCCCCCCCTGGCGGACCCGCCCCCCCCTGGCCCCCCCCCCCCCCAGCGCGGGGAAGGGATCAGAGGGGCGAGGCCTCCGTTCGACTCTGCTACGACGCTGTCCGATTTCCGTCTGGCTGGGTCACTCGAGGAGGAGGGCCCAGGGAAAGGGGGAGAGTGGCGACGGCGACCCACGCGGAAAACATCTCACACACGCCGACAGAACCGGCGAATCCTTCCCCGCGGCTGCGGCGACTTTGGGGCTGTGGCGTTTTAGCTTTCTCTTGGGTCGCTCAAGCGTGTATTTTTCTTGAACCCAGCGTTTTTTGTCCCCAGCTGCCTGCGGCAAGTCCCACCACTATGCCAGACCAGCATTCTAGGTTGCCAATGTTCGAGAGTACTCGTGAGGTCGTCAGGTGTGACGCCCCGTGTCTTCAGGCTTGGGAAAGCCGTGATGATGATTTTGTGTTGAGGATCATGATGCTGCTGCTGATGATTGTGATCATGATCAACATCATGACAATGATACTTCTAATGATGCTGCTGATGATGATGCTGCTGCTGATGATGATGATGATGTCGATCACGACGATGACGATGATGACGATGCTGATACGGATGCTGATGATGAGGATGATACTGCTGCTGACGATGAGGAGGACGATGCTGTTTGTCATGACGACGATGCTGATACTGCTGCTGATGATGCTGATGACGATGATGACGATGACGGTGACGATGGCGACGACGACGATGATGGCGATGACGATGACGAAAACGATGACAATGACAATGACGATGATGATAATGATGATGATGATGATGATGATGATGATGATGATGAGGATGAGGATGAGGATGAGGATGATGATGATGGTGATGATGGCGGTGGTGATGATGATGACGCTGAGGCGGATGATGATGATGATGATGATGAGGAGGTTGATTATGATGATTATTGTGATGAAGATGCTGCTGCTGGCGACGATGCTGATGATGCTGATGATGCTGCTGCTGCTGATGATGATGCTAATGATGAAGCTGATGATGATGATGATGATGATGATGATGATGATGATGACTGCTAATGATGCAGATGCTGATGCTGATGATGCTGGTGGTGGTGATGCTTACAATGCTGATGCTGATGATGCTGATGCTGCTGATGATGATGATCATTATAATGCTGATGCTGATGCTGTTGATGATGATGACGCTGCTCACTATGATGATGCTGGTGATCATGGTGATGATGATGATGATGATGCTACTGATGAAGATGATGATGCTGATGATGCTGATGATGATACTGATGAATCTGTTGATGATGATGCTGATGATGATGATGATGATACTGATGCCGATGACGATGACAATGATGATGATGATGATGAAGATGATGCTGATTATGATGATGATGATGATGATGATGATGATGATGATGATGCTGCTGATACTGATGCTGATGATGCTGATGCTGATGATGCTGATGATGCTGATGTTTATTCTGGCGGTGGTGCTGATGACGATGACGTTTATGACGACTGTGCCGTTGATGATGCTGCTGCTGCTGCTGCTGATGATGATGATGATGATGATGATGATGATGACGGCGGCGGCGATGTTGGTGATGATGATGATGATGATGATGATGATGATGATGATGATCACGATGTTGCTGCTGCTGGTGATGATGCTGCTGCTGATGATGCCGATGATGTTGATGTTGATGGTAGTGGTGGTGGCGGTAATGATTATGATGGGTTTTATGATATCGTTGCTGATGCTGGTGATTGGTGAACTGTTATTTGTGATTGATGGCTGTTGTTGACAAGGATGCTAATGGTACTGCTGCTGATGATACCGATGGTGAGAATAACGATGATGATGCTGATGATGCTGATGATGCGGATGGTGATGCTGATGATGATGACGACAATGATGATGCTGATGCTGATGCTGATGCTGCTGATGTTGATGATGGTGCTGATGATGATGATGATGATGATGATGATGATGATGATGACGATGATGATGATGATGATGATCAGGATGATGATCATGATGATGATGATGACGATGATGATGATGCTGATGCTGATGATGATGATGATGATGATGATGATGGTGATGGTGATGGTGATGGTGATGGTGATGATGGTGATGATGCTGATGGTGATGATGATGATGATGGTGGTGGTGGTGGTGATGATGATGATAATGATAATAATGATGCTGATGCTGCTGCTGCTGCTGATGATGATGATGATGATGATGATGAGGAGGAGGAGGAGGAGGAGGAGGAGGAGGCGGAGGGAGGAGGAGGAGCTGGAGGAGGATTGCGAGGATGAGGAGGATGATGAGGAGGATTACGAGGATGAGGAGGAATAGGAAGCGGAGGAGCAGGAGGGAAGAGGAGGAGGAGGAGGGAGGAGGAGGAGGAGGAGGAGGAGGAGGAGGAGGAGGAGGAGGAGGAGGAGGAGGAGGAGGAGGAGGAGGAGGAGGAGGAGGAGGAGGCGGAGGAGGAGGAGGGAGGAGGAGGAGGAGGAGGAGGAGGAGGAGGAGGAGGAGGAGGAGGAGGAGGAGGCGGAAGAGGAAGGCCGTCACATGCGGCATCAATCGTCGTCACTGTAACGAGGAGCTCTCGTGGCACTCGTCCGGGCCGCCTTGGGGCTGTCTCGGCCTTGCGTGAGGCGGTCTTTGGGGTCCTTGGGGTCCGTGTTGGGCCGTTTTTGAGCTCTCTTGGGCTGTCTTTTGATTCTCTGGAGCCGTCTTGGGGCCCTCTTGGTCGTATTATTGGGGGTTCGGGGCCGTCGTGGGGCCGTCTTGGCGCCGTCCAGGGCCGTCGCATGGCCTTTCAAGGTCGTCTGTGGTCCTACTGGAGGCCCGCTTGGGCCATCTTGGGGCCGTCTTGGATGCCTCCTGGGCCATCGTGGAGTCCTCTTAGGCCATCTTTGGACCCTCTTGGGGGCCTCTTGGGCCGTCTGCGGGCCATCGTTGAGGCTTCTTCGGCCGTCTTGGGGCCATCGTGGAGGCTCCTAGGGCCGTCTTGAGCTGACGGAAGCCCGAAACGGCGATAATGCGACAGTTATATTAAAACCCAAGGGGCATCAATCATTTTGGCTTCTTCGGGCCCTGTTGAAGGTACTCTTCTTGTCCTTCGGGCCCTCTCGGATGCACCTTGGGCCGTCCCGATGCCATACCTTGGGCCGTCTTAACGCCATCTTGCGGCAGTCTTGAGGCCAAGTGGGGCCGTTTTAGAATCATCTTGGGCTGTCTTGGAATCATCTTGGTCTCGGGAGCTCGAATCTGTTTGTTTTTTCCTGTGCATTTTTTTCCTGTGCATTGTCGCCTCGAGGGTGCGATTCCGCAGTATCTTAATAAGAAGGGCGGTGGCCTCCGAGGTGCAGACCGTGCTGTATTTGACCAAGGCTTGTGTTCTCGGGAGTGCGAAGCCGTTGTATCCTGCGAGGGATTGTGGTCTCGGGAGGGGGCGATGCGCGTAGGGGTAGTTTGAGGAGAGGGGGGGGGGTCTCTAGAAGTCTACAGAAACCCTGCCAGGCAGCTCTTTGCACTCCAGCCCGCCTCAACGTGCCAGGGGGCAGGCGGATACTTTTTGGACTCGCACTGCCGCTCGCCATTCCCAGTCAGCACATGCGCAAATCGTTTTTTTTTACCGGGGCCCCGACGACAGGCGTGACCGCGACGCGTTTTCAACAAGCTAGGCCCTATCCCTCCCTCCTTCTGCTCATTGTGCGCGTCCCTCTCTCTCTCTCTCTCTACTCCTTCCTCGGGGGCACCGTTAGGGTTGGATGGGCTGAGGAGGGGGTGCATTAACCCCCAATCGTCCCTATATCGCCGATAAGGGGGCCCGATAGCCCACTCCGCGCAGGAGCATTCGGACCCACTCTCGGGGGCTCATCTCCGATCCATCGGCGATTTGTGGCCGCATCCAGCTCGATGTTCCCCCCCCGCCATCAGCCAATCCCCCCCGATCCCTCCTCCCTCCTCCTCCTCCCTCCTCCTCCTCCTCCTCCTCCTCCCGCCTCCCGCCTCCCGCCTCCTCTTTCCTCCTCGTCTCTCCTTCTCCTCCTCCTTCTCCTCCTCCTCCCTCCGCCCTCCTCCTCCTCCTCCTCCTCTCTCCTCCTCCTCCTCCTCCTCCTCCTCCTCCCCCTCCCCCTCGTCCTCCCCCTCCCCCAGTCGATCTCTTTCTTGCTGCTTCCAGTTCTGGGGGGGGCAGGGCTGCGGCATCGGCGGCAGCCGCAGCCGCAGCTTCCTGGAGAGCGGGTCGCTGAGCTTCCACCAGCAGCCGGATGGCTTCCTGAGCCCGTCGCGGTCGCTGTGCTCTGCAGGCGAAGACAGCAAGGACTGCTGCGTGTCGGGAAGAGCTGGAGGGATGGCGAGGAGGAAGGAGGATGACGATGAGGCGGAGGAGGAATGAGGAGGAGGAGTAGGATGATGCTGCTGCTGATGATGATGATGATGATGCTGATGATGATGATGACGATGATGATGGTGATGGTGATGATGATGAGGAGGAGGAGGAGGAGGACGAGGAGGAGGAGGAGGAGAGGGATGATGATGATGATGATGATGATGATGATGATGATGATGATGGTGATGGTGATGGTGATGGTGATGGTGATGGTGATAGTGATGATGATGCTGATGATGATGATGCTGATGATGATGATGACGATGATGATGATGACGATGCTGCTGCTGCTGCTGATGATGATGATGATGATCATGATGATCATCATGATGATGATCATGATGATGATGATGATGATGATGATGATGATGATGATGATGGTGATGATGATGGTGATGGTGATGATGATGATGATGATGATGCTGATGATGATGATGATGATGATGATGATGATGATGATGATGATGATGATGATGATGATGATGATGATGATGATGATGATGATGATGATGATGATGATGATGATGATGATGATGATGATGAGGAGGAGGAGGAGGAGGAGGAGGAGGAGGAGGAGGAAGAAGGAGTGTTCGAGCATGACGCTGAGACTGGGAGAGAAGCATAGCGGTGTGTGAAGTTCGAGTGGTCGTCGTTACCAGCGCTGTTGGGCTCAAGCGTTTAATATGTGGAGGTTACGCCTTGTCTGCCCACAGTAGACAGACTCCAATCATTCTCGTTTCCTTCTCCATGATTTGCATGTTTGTGGAGAACGGGGAATGATGGCACGTGCAACCGCCGTAGCTGTAAACACCCCCCCATGACAGAGATAAGCCCTTTTACTTCAATCCGGCACGCATTACAGAGCTACGCGAAGATGCCTATTATAGTGCGGTTGTAGTTAGTTGAAAGTGCGGATGGGAGCTAACCGTGGGGGCATGAAGGAGTCCAGTGACTGAGAGACGGCAGAGGGAGTAATACTTGTCACGAGTGAAAATTGTTTTGGCGAAGAACCCAACCATGTGCAGTTGTGAGTATCTTCGTTGTGAGTATCGCCTTTTGTGGATCTCCCCATTGGGGTCACGAAGCGTGTGAAGGGTGTGCTGAGATGGGGTGGGGCCTGCATGCGCGTGAGGGGTGTGCCGAAATGGGGCGGCGGTGCCATGCGAACCCCTCCATTGGGCCCTCAGGTGGAGCTCCCTGCAGACAGTCCGGTAAAATTGGTACGATTTGCCTGGACTGGAAGCGTGACTGAATCTTCGCATGAACGGGGTCTGACCCTCAAGGAGGCGCACGGGCGCGAGCGCGCCAAGGCACTGTCAGCAGCCCCCACGCGCGAGTTTGGGGATGGGCTGCTCAGGGAAGTTCTGGAAGGAGCCGCCTCAGGAACACTCTAGACTGAGCTAGACTGAGCTGCCCGAGGAAAGTTTAAGAAGACGCCGCCCCAGAACAGTTTTGTGAAGAGCTCCCGAGTTAAGTTCCAGAAGGCGCCTTCTCCCTCCCCGTCGCGCCAGCACCGAGCCCCTGCGTAAGTCGCCCTCGGAGTTCTTCGCTGTCCTTACCTAGTACTTTACAAGGGCGCAGTGGGGCCGACATGCTCCGCGCCAAGTGCGTAGGTTTTTTTTTGGGGGGGGGGGCACCATTCGGATCCGTCCGAAGTCCATCGAATTCGCATGGGATCCGTCCAGCCAGCCTCGGAGCCGCACAGGTTCCGTGGTGGGTCCGTACCCGGACCCAACGCCCGAGGCAAGGCTGACGCTCGCGAGAGGGGACCCTCGTCAAAGCCTGCGGAGGCCACTGCGCTCGTCCTCGGGTGTCCGACGATGCGCCCGTCGCCCGCGACCTGCTGCCGAGCTTCCCTTTCCCCAGGCGGGCTGGGCCGGCGGCCCCTGGCCTGGCTCGACCCACAGCCAAGCACCGTCGTGCGATCTGAGACTTCGAACCCGGTGCTCAAAACGTACCAACTTGCCTGGCTGTTTGTAAGGGGCCACGGAGCGTGTGAGGGGTGCGCCGAACTTGGGCGGCGGTGCCATGCGCACGCTGTCGCTGGGTCCTCAGGTGGAGCTCCCCATGGGGCCACGGAGCGGGTGAGCGGTGCACCGACATCGGGCAGCGGTGTCCTGCGACCCCTCCCCGTTCGGGCCTGAGGTGGGGTTCCTTATAGGTCCACGGAACGTGTGAGGGGTGTGCCGAATTGGAGTGGCAGTGCCATGCGAACCCTCAAGCTGCGGCTTCATGTGGAACTCCCTATGGGGCCACGAAGCGTGTGAAGGGTGTGCCGCAATGGGGAGATAGTGCCATGCGAAGCCCCCATTTGGGCCTCAAGTAAAGCTGTGTGTAAGGGGCCGCGAAGCGTGTGAGGGGTGTGCCGAAATAGGGTGGCGGTGCCATGCGCACCCTGTCACTGGGGCCCCAGGTGGAGCTCCCCATGAGGCCGCGATGCGCGTGTTGTGGTGTGTATTTGTGTGTTTGTGTTTGTGTGTGTGTGTGTGTGTGTGTTTGTGTGTGTGTGTGTGTGTTTGTGTTTGTCTGAGTGCCCGAATGGGGCGGCGGTGCTATGCGAACCCTCCCACTGGGGCCTCAAGTAGAGCTGCCTCTGGGGTCGCGAAACGTGCGAGGGGCGTGCCGACATGGAGCCCTCCCACTGGGGCCTCAGGTGGAGCTCCCGCTGGGGCCGCGCAGCGCGTGGGGGGTGTCCCGAAATGGGGCGGCGGTGCCATGCGAACCCCCCCACTGGGCCCTCCGGTGGAGGGAGCTTCCTCTGGGGTCGCGAAGCGCGTGAGGGGCGTGCCGGAATTGGACGGCGGTGCCATGCGAACCCTCTCACTTGGGCCTCAGGTCGGTCTCCCTGTTGGGCCACGAAACGCGTGAGGGGTGTGCCGAGATGGGGCGGCGGTGCCATGCGAACCTTCCCGCTGGGGCCTTAAGTGGAGCTCCCTCTGGGGCCGCGCAACGCGTGGTGTGTGTGTGTGTGTGTGTGTGTTTGTGTGGGTGCCGGAATGGGGCGGCGGTGCCATGCGAACCCTCCCGCTGCGGCCCCAGATGGAGCCCCGAGGAGGACCGAGGAGGAGGAGGAGGAGGAGGAGGAGGAGGAGGAGGAGGAGGAACGCGGTGCGCTGTCTCTTCTAGGCGAGGACCCAACACCACAGGATGGTTGGGAACTAGTGGTGTTTTGCTGTGACAGGAGTTTCCCTGTTGGCCAAGATGAGCTTGGCAATGGGCCCAGATGGGCCCAGGAGTATCGGTGACGTTGCGACGCAGTTGGGGCAATGGGCTGCGTTCGTCGAGATGAGCAAAAGTACGGTCCAGCATGCTCACTTGACCTCCCTTTTGCATCGCAGCGTTACGCGCAACCATGTCTTGCGCGTGATTTTTGTTTGAGGACTGGCGCCAGCGCTGTTTCAAAACGCCACACTCGTTAAAGTAGGAAAACTATCAACGATTCCACGTGCAATGCGAAGATTGGGCCAGGGAAGAGATGTCAGACGCCGGCGCGGAAACCAATGGCGCGATGGGTGTTTTGGGAGTGAGCGGCGTTCATGAAAGTAATGGCAGCAGTTCTTGGAGCACCTGCGAGGGGTGGAACGCTGAAGGGCGCATCGGCGAAGGAGGTTACTAGTGGCCTGACTCAATTTGGGGCCGAGGTCAGACGCGAGGCGAGGAAGGGGGAGTGGATGCCGTTAGTCAAGGAAAGGGCAGAGGAGGTAAAGGACCCAAATGTTGTGCGCGTGCCAAGTTTGGACGCGTTGTCGCGAACTGCACGAAGGGTTCGGACAAGTACGGTACAGGAAATATGGAGGCATGGCTGGGGGGGTGGAAGGTAAAGGACTACAGGAAATATGGAGGCAGGCTGGGGAGGGTGGAAGGTAAAGGACTGGGGGGGTCGAAGGTCAAGGAATGCCTGTTTGAAAGGTGTTGTGAGGGGAGCTTCGCAGATGGACGGCATCTTAAAATGGAAAACGCCGAGGCGGAAGACGCGGAGGCGGCAGAGCGGGACGAGGGGGATGGCGCACGGGAGGCGTCGCCGCCATGGCAGGCAAGGGAGGCGCTGTGCGGGCGGAGGGGCAGGCCACGAGGTTGGCCTGCTGCGCAGAGTGGGGCGCTCACGGGGTGGAGGCCAACATTCCATCGGGCCTGTCCCTCTGCAGGGGGAGAATCCAATAATCATCTCCACATAGTCTGGGGGTCGATGTTTTGACCATTGTAGGGCATTTTTTTGTTATATATATATATATATTATATAATATATATAAAACAATTCTTTCCTCGACCAAAATCCGCCTGTAGGGGGACAGGCCCGACCTAAGACAAACAATGAAAAGCGATGTGTGCAGGAAAGCCAAGGGGGGGGGGTCAGGCGAGGCCCCGAGCACCTGGCTGGGTCAACCCGTGCCTGGGCGTGGCGGGGCCGATGCGCCTCGGGGCCCCCCGTGCTGGGCGAGCGGGCAGAGCGGCGGAGTGTCGAGGGAGAGGGTGGGCAGACGAGCGCGTGCTGTCGAGAGCGGGCTGTGCAGCAGGTGTCTGTGGGGGCGAGCGCTCGAGACGTGGCTCGTGGAGTGCCCGGGCCGTCCACTGCAGGCAGCACGGAGCACTCGGGGACAGCTGGGCTCAGTCAGTCGATGCCCGCGCCGTTCTCCGGAAGACATCAGGGGAGTCTTGTGCGACAGTTGATGCCACTCTAGACTCTAGAGCGCACGGCCCCGCGGGGCCGCCGGGGGTCGGAACTTGCTCCCCGGTTGAGCCGCCAGAGGCGTCCAAAGCTCGGGGGCGTCGCCGCGCAGCGCAGTGCGCGGCAATCGGGAACGAATGGTCGAAGAGTCGCTGTGGGAGGTGACGACCAGGGCGGCCAAAGTTGGCGCGCCATCCCGGGTGGCCCCAGTGAGGGCGGTGTTGGGCTCGGCGAGAGAAATGGTTGAGCTTAGAAATCGAGCAGTGCTG